TAAGGAATTTATAGAGAATACTATTAATAAACTATTAGAATAAAACTAGTATACTATTAAAACTAAAGAGATATATAGTTTATTTAAAGAATCTAAAGTAAGTTCTAAAAGCTATTCTTTTCTTATATTTAGTTATAATTCTTATCTTATAGAAAGCTATTATTATATTAAGTTTTATAAATTACTTTACTTTTAATAAACTATAAAATATCTTTAAAATAAAAGGAAAAGAGTATTTATTCTTTTTAGAAATTATATTTAAAGCTTAATAGTTATAATAGAAATATAATCCTCCTCTAGGTTTCTTAATAAATAGTATTAAAATTATTACTTTTAAGCTATTTATTTTAATAAACTTTTTATTTAATAGCTTATTAAGTATTTTTTATAATACTAGAAGTTCTTTTTTAAATATTAAATAAAGAGACCCCTATAGAAATAATAATTTCTTTCTATTTAGTTTAGTTTAAAGGTTTATTTTATAGTTAATACTAAATTATTATAAGGAAAGTATAGAAAACTCTAAGAATTTAAATAGCTTAGGGAATTTACCTAAGAACTAGATTAATATATAGTCTCTTAGGTTTATAGATTCTTTTTCTATTAATATTTAGTTAATATTATATAAACTAATTATTTATATCTACTCTACTATATTCCTCTAGTATCTAAATAGTTATTAATAGATTATTATAAAAACTCTAATACTTATTAAGAAGTTATTCTATTATATAGTTTATATATAGAAGGGTTCTACTTTTAAATATAGTTTTATTTATATACTAACTAATCTATAGAAAAGTTACTACTTTTCTATATTATAAATTATATAGTTTCTTTATATCTATAGTTTCTCTAGTAGAAGATTATAATCTAACCCTCTAATTATATATATAAAAAGCTATTCTTTATAATCTATTAGATCTAGATTTACTATAATTATATTATAAATTAGGATTTTCTCTATTTTATTAGAAAAAGCTTTAATAATATATATCTTTTTATTAATATAGGGAATATAGAGATTCTAAATAATTTACTTATTAATTATTATATAATAATTACTATTACTATTTATTAGAGAGTTTATAACTAACTTATTATTAATTTATAAATAAATTAATTCTAAAGAGTTAATTATTCTAACTTCTATAGTTATTTAATTATTTAAATCCTTTTTTTTCTACTTTTAAATTTATTTTTATTTAGAAACTACTTTTTTCTCTTATTTTTATTATTATCTTCTTACTCTAAAGCTATATAGTATTCCTCTAGTTCCTTTTTAATTTTATAAATTATAAGCTTTAAAAACTTTTTTTTTTTTAAGTTTTAATTATACTAGAAGTAGATTATAATTAGATAATTAGTTTTATTATATTTAAAATAATATTATTACTTATTTACTTTTTTCCTTTAGTTTTTATTATTTTTTACTTAAAAGATATTTTCTATTTTAATATCTCTATTAGTATTTTATTATTAGATTATAGATTAAAATAAGTTTTCTTATTACTTTTACTTTCTTTAGAAATAAATATTATTAAAATACTCTAATCTCTATATAATATTTTAAATCTTTTTAATCTATTTAATATAGTCTATAAATAACTTAGTTATAATAAGAGTTCTATAAGTTTAGTTATTTAGAATACCCTTTAGAAAGATAATTTTTACTAAATCTAGCTATTATATACTATTAGTTTTAATAATTAATTTTTTAAATTTTAAAAGAAAAGATAAAAAGCTTTATTAATTACCCTATTAGAAATTTTATAATAATACTATAATAAACTTAATAAGATTTATATTTTTATATATATAATCTAGATATTAAAAGAATTCTATAGAAATATAATTAATAATTAGTTCTTACTTTATATAGAATATTATAATTAGCTTCTAGAGAATAATATCTAAATAGATATTTATTAGATATTAAATCTCCTGATTTAATTAGTAGAAAGTAGTATCTAGAATAATATAGTTTTATATAGTTTATTACTAGATAGAATAATCTATATACTTCCTAGAGAATAGGTTTAGAAAAAATAATTATTTTCTTTTTAAGAGATTATAATTAAAAATCTATAGAGAGACTTCTATTTATTTAATATAAATAAATAGTAATCCCCTTAATAGTAAGCTAGAAACTAATAATATAGGAAATCTAAATATATTTACTATATTTATATTATTTAATAACTATATTATTTAATTCTATATAAACTATAGAGTATTTATAATTAAGTCTATAATAAAATTTATAAATTAAAATTTAGAATTCTAAAGTATCTAGTTCTTCTTAGTAAGATTATCTATAGGGTATTAGTTTATTATAGTAAGATAGTAGTAAGAGAGGTTCTTATTTATAATAATCTAGAGATATATTAAAGAATACTCTCTAGATCTATTTAATTAGGAAGATAATATATTAAATTTATCTCTAGATATAAAAAAAAAGAAGAATTCCTTTTAAGAGGAAGTAATAAGATAGCTACTTTTATAGTACTTTCTTATTAAATAAACTAGAATTAAGAAACCCTTAAGTAATCAGGATCCCTTCTATAAGGCTATATAACCCTAGCGGAGCTCTTTGTAGGTATAGCCTGTAATAGTGTTCTCTTTTTGAGGATATTCTTAGCTTAACCATAACCGCAGCAGGACGGGAGACTATCGCCAACCCATCAGATAGATAGGGATTTGAGCAGATTGGCCTACGGAATTCTGCGAGAAAGAGTACACTGTTATTGCTCAACAGAAACATTTTGAAGATAGGATTTTGGACCTCAGCCAGGATACAATAATCATTTCGACGATTACGAATCCTCGTAAGGAGGCTCGATTTGCCTACACTGTGTCGCATGTCCGTATATCCGAGTGATTTTGCATAGGATTTCGATGGGCAGGGTCATGGTGGTCGGAGTTCACTTCCTTCTATTTCCTTCTCTCCTTATTCTGTATAAGCCAATAATTGTCCAGCGTTCCTTTTGTATCCCCCAACTCCCTTTGTTATTTGAATAGGAATGGGATTTTGGGCCTCAGCCAGGATAACTATAATCATTTCCACGATTGGGCAGGGAGGTGGCTGCGAGGCTTTGCGAAGACAACAGTTTGCCAGAAAATACCACTACGAGAGATTGTCATCGACGTCCCGGTCCTATTCAGGAGGCGATGTTACTTTCACTGAATCGAGGTAACATCGAGGCTCAGCCTTTTGTTGAAAGGGACCTCTTTGGCGCAAGAATTGTTGGCATTGAAAGACTAAAATAAGCATGTAATCAACTCTTCCTACGCGACTTTCTAGGCTCAGAAGATCGAAATTGGAGAAGAGATCCGCGAAGCGTATAGACTCGCGAAGGAATAAGTAGAGAGGTCGGCAAATTAGATGAATCAAGTGAAAAGTGGCGGCAGCAGCTGCGATCCAGCCCAGGACTTTCTTTCGGCAGACCGGTACTTTTCACCCAATTCAGGCTTCCAACTTTAAGCACATCGACCTCAAGGACACATAGGGCCCTCTAATTTGTGCATCGCCTTGAAGTATAGGAGGATCTGTCAGATATAAAGAGAGCCTATTTGCACAAGGTGGCCGAAAAGGTGGCAAGTAGTTTAGTTCGTGTTTGTTCTCTCTCATGATTTGTTCTATATTTTAGCAAATGCTTAAGTATGACAGTTGGTAACTGATATGTGATAGAATAAGAATGGAATCGATTAATGAAGGAAGAATGTACTAGACTTATAATTGATGTCTGGGTGTTATCTGCCTACCCTGTACTTAGAAGCTGTTCTGCATCAACCGATAAACTGAAAACCTTAGAAAAAAAGAAAGTTTCATAAATCGCAACAGAATATGAATCTTGATTATTTTAGTTTTTAAAAGGAGTCAAAGAAAGCTAAAGTTCAAAAAAAATATCTACATTGATCGGAAGGCGAAGAGGAAAATGTGGCGATATCCACGCTCAGTCTTTTGTCAACACGGCGAATACCGCAAAGCCTCGGAACTATTACCAAAGTTCCAACTGTGATAAAAGCGGTGTAGTGCTTCGGACCATTTCATCCTTGCACCTTCTGTTACAGATGGTCCTGTCTTACACTGCTAAACTGATTACGGTGTGTTGTTTCGGCGGCGGCACATTGAGCAAGGGAAGTCTGCCCTGCTTGATCAGCATTTGTCATCGTCCTGAAGTTTCGGCTGCTCTAATATTCCACTCATCTCCGTTCCCTATAAGGCGATTTGTGAATTGCCAAAGAACCTGTTTTCGGTTACTATTCCGGGTGGATGTTTCCACGAGTCTGCGGATATCCACTTCTGCCCGCCGAAACTCACGGACCACTCCCGGGCCTGGGCCTGCTGCGTATGTCATGTCTGTTTGAGGCGACTTATACGCTATGAGGGCGCTTATTCTTGACTTTAGCCGAGGAAGAGGACTACAGGGTGAGAGAGGTATGAGTATCTGGCGCTTATGCTCCTTCCAAGATCACAGCTCAGCTAGCTATACTCCATAGGGCTTGTTGGATCAAGGGTGATATTATTTCACTCATGACCTGCTATTGGTAGATGAACGAAGTATAATTAAATTTCAAAAAGAAAAAAATCCGGCTATGCCGTGCATTCACATGCTTGATTCAGGCTTATTTCCTGTCCAAGTTATAACTTGTAACAGCCGCCCACCACGGTATAATGCCGGTGGAAGGACGACCCGCAAAAGCTGGCGTGCCGCCCATGGGGAGCAAGGGGGATGACATCGCCTGATCCTATAGGATCTCTGTCTCCAAACGCTAGGCAACATGTGCCGTGAGCCAACATGGGTTATCCTAGACACAGTCGAGCAAGATGGTTGTCATGCAAGTGTCATGAAAGCTCGGTATTTCCGCAACCGACAAGGATCGACCTCATATATAAGACATGATAGCTTCCGTTAGATCTAGACGCCAATATTCAAGCTTACATCCTCATCCATCTGTTTCATCTGATAATCTTGTTTCAGAATCCTAACTTCAAAATGGCCATTCGAACAGCAGTCATCCTCTCCTTGATCGGGAGCGCTTTTGCTCAGATCAGCAAGTCTTGCGTGGATATCGCTCTTGACTCTGCCACCAACGTGCTGTCAGCCAAGTGTACGCCCGCCGACCACTCAGCTGCCGTTCCGACATCCTTGGATCTTAACCTTTGCATCGGCTACGACGGTACTCAGCTCACGGTGAGGACTAGCCTTCCCAGGCTTAGCTATTAGATAAAGAATGTACAATCTGACAAGATAATTCTTTAGGCCACTCGTCCAGGTAACTTTGGCACAAGCTGTAGCGGCTGTTCTCTTTACACGGGCCCAGACCCATGGTACCTGACTGAGGTCTACTGGATCAGCTGCACCTGCACCGGTCAGAGCGCTGCGTCGACTATTAACCTCGGTAAGTCATCATATTGTGAATTTGGGGTATGGGCTCGTGGCTAATTATATTCACCAGAGGTCGCAAGTGCGCATCAGTATATAACCAACAACAATGGAAAGCTCACCTGCTAAGTTACGGGTTTGATGGAAAAGGCAGAATACTTGGTTGTTCGATATAGGGAGAAAGATTCTTCAGCTTGAGATTCATGCGGTTGCTCCACAGTCAGTGGGTACTGTCATAGAATTGATGCCGATAATCTTCATTGTACAATTTTGTTGTCCTACTCTTGGGATTGATTTGTGATCGCTATGGAACCGCGTAAACCTTTTTTACGAAAAACAACTGGTCTGCCATTCTTTCTTTTAGCCTCCTTGCCGTACCAGGATGAGAGCAATATGTTAGGGCTACCCGTGGACGTCTCTTGTCAATGACCCCACCGTCTTAAACTGCCTTGAACACTGATTGGATTCCCATTCAAGGTATCGCGGATTGGTATGGATCTTATTCACGGGTATGCAATGTCCGGTTTTCCCCCAGGTAGCGCCATGCGGAACGACCAGCCTTGCAACGCGTGAATTTCCGACACGACCCGAGGCAGCCATATAGTTGGCACAACGGGAATCCAGAACTCGCAAATCTCAGTCCTTAGAATCTCCACTCCCATGGCCCAGGAATGCCGACCGCTGTCTCTGTCCCCGATACTCAGCTGAGCGTGAGCCATGGATAAGTATATCATGGCTGCTATAAAACCACGCCTAGACTTGAGCGTGTGCATCCGCTCAACCTCTTGCAGAGCAAACTTCCATCGTGATAGAGCCTCTTCGATGCCAGGCCGCATGTGAGCTACTCGTGCTTCTGCTAAGAGGTGCCGCATATGGAGTTGCTGGTCATGGAGGTCATCTAATTTCAGTGGTACGATACTGTAGAGTTCCTTCAGCAATGCTTCCGCCGCATCCAGCCTGTTCAGCCCAATATTGGCTTCTGCTGATGCTAGTAGCAAGCGTCGGAATGAACGGCGTTGTCGTTCGCTGTCTTTAACACTGTTGAGTTCCGCTTGAATAAGATCCAATGCCTGGGAGTATTCCTTCATTTCACAAAGCATATCTGCCAATCTTCCAGCGATGATATGTCGTGTCCCAGAGCGTATCGGCTTAGTCGTATTCAGGGACAGAAATTGCTCTAACGAGATTCTTGCGGCGCCAAAGTCACCAACCGATTGGAAGAATCGTGACGCAGCAGTCTGAAGTCTCGATGTCACCTCTATCTCCAACGTGGATAAAGGCTGTTTCGCCTCCCACTTGTAGATAAATGAAGGCACATCGCTGTCATAGCACTTGATTTTGTTCTCAATTAGAGAAATATGAAGACGTCCCAGGAGTGCATGATCACGCCGCGTAACAACTGACGGACCCCGCCACATGAAGTCCCGTATCTGCGCCTCAGCTTTAGCAAGATCCCCGTCGATGCGATAGAGAATGCTTTGAAAAAGTACTACCGACGCATGGAGGTAGTACGGCATCGGTTTCCTCAGTAGTGACCTGGCCTGCTCGACAGCAACACGACGGATCATCACGGAGTCTCTCTCGCAGAAGTAGAGGATTGCCTCAAGGACTTGTGTTCTTAGTAATGCAGATACATTGTACCTTTTGAGCATATTTTCAAACACCCCCCACATGGACTTCTTCAACGATGAAGACCTGGAAAAACCACTTAGCCATGCGTTCTATAGTTGGGGCACGTTCCATACCAATTTGTATTGCCTTCGTAACATGGGGGGCAAGCCAAGCATATGAGCCTGAGTGCTATATCCCCAAGATGATTCATTGTCTGAGGAAGTAAGCATTGAGAAAAGGAAGCTTGTATATCAGTACATAATGACCATGTGACTGTCCCGTCATCCAAGACTTGATGTGTCACATTCGGGTTACCAATTGAATCTCTTAGCCTCCTCCTAACCGAGAGAATATTTACCAGTTCAGGGGAAACATTCAACTCCGAGGCTGTGATTTGTTCTACTTCCCCGTCGGCAGTCCATCGTCTCTGTGGTAATTCAACACTGCTCAGAAGCAGGTCCGGAATATTAGTGCCGCCCAATGCATAGAGACACAGCAACAGCTGATTTTCACCGGAAAGAAACTCATTATATAAGACAGAAAGATTTAGATAAGAGTATAACATAGGTGGATCTGTAGATGAGTTAGACACACAGAGTTAGGAGAGTTCTCCCCGCAGAACGCACTAACCGGTGAGCTGGCTTATGATAAGGTGCCTGACGAATTCGGTGTAAATGTCAGTCCGGGGAGCCAGGAAACTCAGGTGGTTGAAGGATTGATCATCATCCAAATTCAGATATCTCTCGTAGCTGCCTATCGTAAGTAATTTGTGAAATATGACAGATTTTGTACACTCACGTTGAAGGAGGAATATCAAGGGGAAGCCAAAACAAACATCCGATATCTTTGAGCCTGCGCCCGATTTTGATATATTTCCGCCCAGCATTTTTGAGCTCAGTGTAAGACTTTTGTCCTTGCAAAAGCCTCGCGATCCGAGGTGGTACTGCCGCCTCTGATTCCAGCTTTGACCTGAGGAAAAGAATTACACAGATGAGCCGTCGTCGCAGCTCAACATGGGCGGGGTCCTCGGAATGTTCCCAGAACGAATCAGGGTCCCCAGTGAACTTGTCATAGACTCGACTTAGTGGTGAGAAGTCAATTGACTGAATTGATACCACCTTGGAAATTCGGGGATTGTTTGGTATGATCTGATACTGAACATCTCGAGAAAGTGATTTAGACTGAGCCAGGAGCGTCCGAAGTTGTTCCAGGTGCTTGTTGAGAGCTGAGACCAATTCTGCGGTTCGGCTCTCGTCGAAATCATTAGATAGCCTCTCAACCGTACTGCAAACACATTCTTGCATTTTCAGGAAATTTCAGAACGAGTAAAGGCGTTAATCATTGGGAATGAGATAGGTGCGGCCGGATCTGATCAGAGGAACTAGGAGAAGGCGATATCCATGAAATGGATCAAGGGCTGAGTGAGCAGCGCCATGAAGCTCTCAATCGTGCAATTTGTTGATGGTAAGACTTCCAAAATATCTCGCAAGAAACTCGGCGATAAGTTCTCCATGGGGTTCAAACTCTGCGCGATGGTGGAGTCCTGCCCCCTGTTAATCTGATTGATAAGATGAATGACCTGTTTTCCAATGCCCTAATAAGCGCTAAAACGTAGTTCCAGTCTGCAAACTTTGCACAGGGGTCTGGGTTAAGCAGACGTTGATTGACAAAAATAGGGGCACAGATAAATCAAGGATGTTCCGACACATGATTACAAACTGTGAAACTAGAAGTTTCAACTTCCATTGGGAATGTATATTCTGGCTATTGAATTGTATGTTATTTCATTATGCAGTGCCAATTATCGAGGTGTCTATCACTGATGGCTGATATCTAAACATTCGTAGCCCACGTCTATTCCATGACTCTACCCGATTTACATTTGCACCTCCTGAATATAGACGAGAAGCACCCAGTTCATGGTGGCCAGAATAGTCAATACCCAAAGAGGCAATGCGACAAAATTGTGAGAAAGACCCCAGCCCAACATCGAACCACCGACAGTTGGACCTACAATGCGAGCGGCGCTTGAGACGCTGCTTGCAAACCCGTGCACAGAGCCAAGTAGAGTAGGACTCGGAGCAGAATTATTGACTAAGATCACCGTCGCTGGGTTGACAAATGTTCGAGATACAACTTGTAAAACCAGAACGAAGGATAGACACGTCCAAATTATTCCCATATCGTCGGGCAGCAACACCAGGTAAGGGAGGAGGATGTATGCACCAATGCTAGCCGGGAGAAACGTGCGATATGATCTCTTCACCCCAATTCGAGAGGTAATGATAGGGTAGAGAATCAGCTGTAGCGGGAGTCCAATAAGCCCGATCGTTGTGTTAGCAAACCCAATCTTCTGCGTCGAGAGTCCAAGTCCACCGGTGAAGCGGAATGGTAGCTCAAAGCTATCTTTCGCTGATTTCGGAGTCGGGAGAAGACTGAACAAAATGGAATTGAAGGCGGAGACATGAATTGATTGCAAGAATAGTAGAACCAGTGCCAAAGTCACCTGCTTTGTGAATATAACTTTAAAAGGAGGCCGTGGCTTGTCAATGACATTTTGGTGACGGGCGTCTGCTGCTTCATGATCTTCGTTGTGGACGGTTGTTTGAGAATAATCATTGTCTGAAATGAGCATGTATCCAGGGTCTTGATGCTTTACCAGTCTCCCAGTAAGCATTTTCCCAAGCCTACGTCCAAAATCGGGCACATGGCGTCGCTGTGGATGGGTTTCATCAAGCCCGAGGACAATTGCAAGAGCTGCCATAGCGAGGATGGTCGAGAAAAGCAAGTTCGGCAGTGCGTATGGGAACTTCGCCATCCACCAAACGCCATCAGAGCCCCCAATTGCTGACCCTGGACCGAACAAGTTTGGGAGAGAGTGAATAGGGTCGGCGAGAAACCCACTAAGAAGTGGCCCAATGATGACACCGACATTGAAACACATTGGCAAAAGAAGAAAGGCTCGAGACTGATATCTTTGGGAGTCGTTAGTTAGAATGTGGTTGACAGATACCGAAACAAAACTCAACTCACCGTTTGTCATCAATGATCTCAGATATCATCGTTCTGAGTATGCCAACGTTTCCATTGAGAGCTCCAGCCAGGAATCGAAACAAAAATACAAAGTATATAGATGTCGAGAAGCCCATACCGAGCGCAGATAAAGCAGAGCCAGAAAGACCAATTATCAGAACTCGTTTGCGTCCCAGACAAGGGTGATCTGCAGCACGTCCCCACCACATAGATGTTAAACACTGGGCCGCCGCAAATATGGCAGTGAGATACCCAGCTTGTTTGGCAATTTCAGATGGTTCAAGCTCCGGGCTGAGCCATCGTAGCTGGTAGAAGAGGTACGATGTCAATGAACGTTCGCTCAGGGGTTCTGCCAATCTAGCCAGCACGATAATGGCCAGTTGGCCTTTCTTCGGAATAGATGCCCATGAGACGGCTTCAGGCTCTTCAAGTACAGGAAGGCTCGTGTATCTTGCTGGCCTTTCGGCGTCAAGAAGGGGACTCTCAGCTGAAGTTAACTCGTTTTCTTGGGCTTCACAGCGCGGTTTTGGTGTCATGGCGGCTAACTGAAATGAATGAACGACTTCTCACCTAGAATACAGAAGAGGTGTCAAGAATTTCAAGAGGTGAAAAAAGTCCGGGAATGAGTGATTCAAGAAGTTTGTGGTGGGAAGACATGACTTTGGTGTAATCTACTAAGAACTCCATCGATAATTCTCATTGGGTGAAGAGCAAAGTTTCAGCCGCTTGGTGACATCCACGCGTGATGGAAATCCCTCATCGGAACTACCCTTCACATGCGACTTGGATGTGATGGGCGGAGGAGAAGGCTCTGAACTACCTCCGACTGACAAAAATAAGCGGTCAGATTTCCCTGTCGCATCGGTGTGATATTGTGGAATACAGCTGAAAGATTACCTTATGGAAAGATTGCCCCGTTGCCATCCCTGTTTAGACTGATCAGACACGCGTCTCCCACGGTCACGAACGAGGCGATAGAAGCGTCTCGTGTACCTAAATGGCGGTGGTGGACCAGAATCACAGTGAAGACTTCGGGTGGGCCAACATGCTTGCAATCCGGGGTCGGTTTGGAGGGTGTTTGCTCACAGTGAAAGAGTTGCAGCTTCAACATCCCTGCTTGACCAAGCTCTCCACCACCCAATCCCAGATCGGTCCTTGGCGTTGCCCACTAGTATTTTAAGACGAGCGAGGTGACGCGCAGTGAATACTCTGTAGGTTTGCCTGACGGTATAATATGAGCCGGATAAAGCAGTGGTTTACATAAGTAGGAAAGGATGATTGCAGCTACCATGATAACTAATACACAAAGAAGAAATCAACTTGTAAGCTTTCGACTTATTCATTGCTGAGCCTTATAGAGCTTGCTCGGAAACCGAGCAAGACCCGCAGTGACTTGAGATATGCATGAGACCAGGACACTCCACAGTGGACACGCTTTGACAGGCTATGTAGAGATGGGATGGAGTTCAAGTGAGCAGGCTGTCGCCAGGAGGAAGAAGCAGGCCCCGATGTGCTCTAAGGCCCTGCCGTTTACTTTTGGGTTCGGCACCTAGATTATCTTATCAATCAAAGACATCAAAAACATGTCCGTAATTCTTGAGCCCAGCCATCAAATGTGATTCATACCAATCTGCCCGAATCAACACTGTCACGAATATCATGGATACCTTGATCAAGCCGCCAACAGCTAAGCAACTAAAGAATGAGGCAGCGTTAAAAGTATACTGCGCCTTTTTATGTACGCTTACTCTTCTTGTTGTCATGGCTCGCCGACTGCATATTCTTTTACAGAAAACTTGGCCAAAACCACCACGGTCTCAGGGCGCTTTGGCTGTTTCCCGCGGGTGCTGCCTTCCAATCTTGCGGTATAACAAGCTCATCCTGGGTTTCCAATATGAAAGTCAGGCTAACGAAGATTCCCAGGCTCTTACAGAAACGTGCTACAAACCTGCAATTCGTCGATAAGCCAGCCTGGGGTCTCGTTGTATTAGTTGGCATCTACCTTGCTGCCAACATCGTCCTATCGCCAACTATTCTTGCTCTTTATAGAGTCAATCATTTTGCCTCTAGATTTGGCTGGTTAGTTTGTCCTTCGTCTTGATCAGTAGGCATGGCGTCTAATATCTCTCAGGCTTGCCGCTGCAAATATGGCACTCTGTATTTTTCTCGGAATGAAGAACACCCCCTTAGGAATTCTCGCAAACACCTCACATACGCATATAAATCGTCTTCATCGCATCGTTGGTTATACTACTGTCTTCCTGGTCGCCATTCATGCTGCCTTCTATACTGTCCATTTTGCCCGCAATAACAAACTCAAGTCCTTACTGAAAGTTGAGGACTTCGCAGGCATCGGCGCCGGGATTTGCATGCTCATCTTACTGATGGGATTCTTCAGGAATCGGCATTACGAGGTCTTCTACGCAAGCCACCTTATTGGTTTCGTATTTACTCTGTTGCTCACAGGTCTTCATCGCCCGGATTGGGCGAAGAAACTGCCTGTTGTGATGTCCTTTATTGGTTGTCTGTGGGCGATCGATCGTCTTATTCGAGCCTCCCGATTCACATACAACCTCATTAATAACCAGGTAACCATGTATCCATTACCGGGCGGTGCAACACGTGTGTTACTAAGAAAGCCTTCCTTGCAATTTGCAAGCCCCGGGTCTCATTGCTTCTTATGGATCCCGCAAATCAGCATCTACCAAAATCACCCATTCACCATCGTCAACAATGACCACAACGGCCTGGAGTTGGTAATGAAACGATGCGACGGGTTCACCAAACGAGTATATGACTTGGCCCTCCAGAACCCCGGTCGTGTGGCTCGTGTCTCTATAGATGGTCCTTATGGCTCGTTGCCCGACACAACCATTTATGACAAGCTCATTATGGTCGCCGGAGGAAGCGGGGGCGCCTTTACGTTTGGGTTGATGAATTACTATTTCAACTGCCCCAAGCGCACTCTTGTTCGGCCTATTGACTTTATATGGGCAGTGAAGTCTACCGGTACGTTGGTATCCAGTTGGTATTCCAGATATTAGAAAGTTTCAACGACACTGACGGCAAGTTAGAGCACTTGGGATGGTTCATTGGACATCTGAGACGAATTACACATCATGGCTCGAATATTAAAGTCACGATATATATCACGAGCGAAGAGCCAACTATCCACGATGATTCTAGGTCTGACTTGGTACCTGATGGCACCCAAGATGGATTACAAACCATGTCACAACAAATTATAGGCCCAGACGACGAGAGCAGAGAATTTGATGGATCAGAAGTCTTGGGATCCGAGAGCGCTATCAAGGCCATAACAACCGACGTGAATATAGTTTACGGCAAGCTGTGCACGACGACTGTAATCAAGGACGCAATGCAAACAGTGACGAGCCAAGATCGAGTACTTGTAGCAGCGTGCGGGCCAGCCTCACTCACTGCTGATTTGAGAGAATCAGTCGAGGATTATGAGAGTCACTTTAGTTCCAACATAGATATCTATTGCGAAGATTTTAGTAGTTAACAGACTGATGAGAGTTCGAGTATAAATAAGATAAAAGCAACGGAAGATCGCAGGTACGAGATCTCAACACAACAAATGTAGTTAATGGATGTGTTTGTAGTTTTGTCACATGACGACAGGTTTCTTTCTAGCCTCTGTTGATGTCCACGCATACTTCTCGCCGATAGCGGCGTGACCTTATCTGAGCCGAGCAGACCCTCGCAGTGATCCCATGTGCCCAGGAAAGCTCCGTAAGGATGGATGGTTGTACCCTTGTAGGTGGATGCAGTTAGGGCAAAGTAGGGGGTGTGTTACGAGCTATCCAAGGATGCTAGTCCAGGGATCCACTGACATATTGAGTGGCACATTACCCACATTATCCTTGAAGACGTTGACAAAATACCGCATGCGAACGATCAGTTCAGGCGTTCTCAGTGGATGTGTTCATGAAAATCCTGGTGTCGGCTGTGGATCAGTGGCGTGTATGGAACAAAACTGTGCCCCACGGTACAATTATCAGATTTCAAGATTAGATGGCATGAGGTTTGGATATAAAGTCCGTCATCGCGGTGTGTCTTCCTGGGCTTTCTCTTTACTTCACCATCCCTTTCTATTGTCTTGTCTTTCCCCGACAACAAGAAGCATTGAGAATACTCATAATGGCTTCGGAAATGACTACCTCTGGAGCTATGCCTCCTAAAGAGGGCGTCGTTGTGACGTCTAACTTCCACGAATCTGAGGAGAAGAATCAAGCTCGGGTTAACAGCCACGAGGCAACTGATTCCGAGGAGCCTCATGAGGATTTCCCATGGACATGGAAAACTGTTGCCCTTTGCTGCGGTGTTGCGCTCTCCTTTGGTTCCTCCTTTGCCGAGAATATCCTCGGACCACTCAAGAGCACGTTGATAAAAGAACTGGATATTAACAATGCGCAGGTAAGATGAAGCCCTTGAAAGAACTTCATAGCGATATCTTCCCTATCACTCAGGGTATTAAATCTAACGTTCCTTGGACAGTACGGAGCAATTTCATCTGCAACTTCACTTGTGAATACCGTCTTGCCAATCATCGGTGGATATGGACTTGATTATTATGGCGTTGAATGGTATGTCCACAACACAACCCGAGAACAAGGAAAAGCCTAAGAAACCAGCCGCCATGGTAGACTTGTTTCTTTATGTGAATAGCGCTCTGATACCAAAATCAATAGGGGATCGATGGCATGCTCGATTTTCATCTTCATCGGAGCCGTAGTTAGCGCAGCAGGATCCAACAAAGATACTTTCAGCCTTGTCCTAGCAGGCCGAATTATTATGGGCTTTGGAAGCACTGTTATCGAAACTTGCACATCCAAGGTAAGTGTCGCTTCGAGGAGATCAGTAAGTTGATCCTTGAATTGACATCTCTTGTAAAGATTCTTGCCCATTGGTTTCAACACAGAGGCCTTGGATTCGTTTACGGTTTGGATTTGTCCATCGGTAAGCACTGAAGACCTTCGAAAAATGGCCCGATGCAGCTTTTCTAACTTTAATTTAAATCTTCAAGGCAAACTTATTGTTCTCATCGCCAAAGCTACGGCTATTCCAATGAGAGACGCATCTAGTTTCTGGGGTTGGTCACTTTGGATTCCGGCCATCGTCTGTTTCGCCAACCTGCTACAGAATATCTTCTACTTCTGGTGGGCTCGATCAAGGCCAGAGTGGACTCACATGCCAACCGGCCAGAAAGTAAAGAGACTTGAGAGGAAGCGCCTGAGAGAGCAAGCTAGTGGTCAAGTGACCGTCGACACGGCATCCATTGCAAGCCGAGCCAGCTGGAGAAGTTATATTCCCGATTGGAGGGTGTTGACACGAGTGCCACGTTTCTTCTGGCTCGTGGTGTGCACCCAGATTCTCCAGGCCGGAGTAGTCGGTGGCTTCAACGGTCTCAACGCTGACATTATTCGCGTAACTCGAGGCTCTACCGAGCAGATTGCTGGCTACACCTCTGCCGTCCAGCAAGTGATACCTGTCGTCTGCGCACCCCTGGTCGGGGCCTACTTCGACTTCTTCGGACACAGGATGCTTTTCGTCAGCTTAACTTCCGCTATTTGGATTCTTGTATATTGCCTCATCGGATTCAGCAAGGTCAATGCTCTTGGTGCGATGGTCATTGCATCATTTGCATCAGCCATGAACGCCTTGCCGTTCATCGCCTCTATCCCCCTTATGGTCCCCAACCAGACAGAGCTGGGCCTTGTCTTCGGCATCTGGAAGGCTTTCAATAACTGTGCAAGCGTAATCGTTGATATGATTTCTGGCAAGCTGCAAGACATCACCCCAGGAGGCACATATGAGCGAGTGATCGCCTTCTTTGTCGCCGTCAAGGGATTGGAGTTCTGCCTTGGTCTATTCTATGGTCTGCTTGATAGGAAGTAAGTTTATTTCCAACGCCATGAAGCCGTGATAATAAGCTAATATTGAACCTAGATATCTTGCGGGCATTCTAACTCTAAGTGAGAAGAAGCGTCTCGTGTTGGAGAGGGAGGGTAAGACTGAATTGTATATTGGTCAGAAGCCCGGGAAGCCGTTCACTATTGTGGGTCTTTCGATGCTTCTTAGTTTGGTGATCATTGCTTGGGTGCTTTTCATTATGTTCTCCATTTAAAGCACCTTCTTCACGGGGGTAGAGAAAAAGACAGCCTCATCATTTGTTTGGAGTTTGGGAAGGTTTCACACAAAGAAGCCAAGCCCCTTGCAGAACATCGTGGATCTGGCATAGTGAAGATATTGAGTAATTATCTTCATCGAAAAATGGGTATACGAATAAGTAAAGTGGTATAATATGCGAGAACAAAACATCCATATATCATATGTAGCCTCTCCGAGTAAACTTGTACAGGCACTACTGATTATCAAAAGTGTGCTTGGGTGGACCAACAACCCCTCCTCGACACTCCGGCACTTCGAAGTGGATTGCCTCAGGCAGTTGGTTTCTGATTTGGATACACATGGCTTAAGACTTTCTGTTATTTGTCCCAAAGGGTCGTATTGATATAGATAGTTCCGGCTGTTGTGAAGATCTCAGAACATCTTTAAAGAGCCACTGCCAACCCCTTAATTCCTGTGGGGGCATGTACAAGATTTCGCTTATGTTTGTTGTTATCCCGCCTTGGACGATTAAGCGTATGTAATGCAATAACGCCAAGTTGGTCAATACAGCAGTTACCTCTGTCTTTATCTACTCTGTCTGTCTGTATTGATGAGGCCTTGATCCGAAAAGTACCAACGCAAAGTAAATCCCTAATTATAAATATATATCGCTTTATGAGCTGCCGTGAAACAAGAAGCTCTAAGTAACAGCAAGGACCGCCACATGAAGACTCAATTCTCGCTCTCTGTGGTTATTCGGGACTACACATTGGTAATTCTGTAAAGGACTTGACGACAGTGAGCTGATATCCTTCTAGTTTTAGAGTAGGTTTCTCAAATTGGACCAGACAAATTTGCCGAAGAAAGTTATTCAATCGCTCTAGAAAAATATTCCGCTCAACCTGGTATTAGATTCCGTAGCTGTTGCAGGGAAGTCTCGCTCAACAACTGCTTTCGCGTAACCAGATATTGGACAACTGGAATGTGGTCCGGGATACCCCATGGGCCAAAATCCCCGTACTTGACAGACAACTCATCCCTGCTGTTATCCAATTTTGCTTTTTCAGCCCATAATTCTATTGCTTGATCGCTGAATCTGGCGCCCCAGCTACTATCAAGCGAGATTTGCGGTGGTCCTCTTCTCGTGAGTCCATAGACGAATATACACGGTTGTTGTGGGCTGGCAGTCCATAACTCGAAGATTTTGATTTTGGGCATCACCTTGGCTGCAAGCGCCGCAGCACAAAGTAGCCGATCCTGGCCTTTCAGAGTCAAGTGAGAGGTATATAAAGAGAGAAACTGTAGATTACGCCATCGCATATCTCGCGGAGGCTTGGTTATTCCGGGTAAGAAGGCAAAGAAGAAATGCTGTGCATCAACACCCATTGCGGCATGAAGGCACTCCAGATTGCGACTCGTCCTTGCCAAGGTCTGTCCCAGTGTCCGGTTGGCCCTCTTATATTCGTTCCATTTGTGATAAATAGGGTTAAGGTCTTCGAAGAATGAGATAAACCTAAGGCTCCGTTTGGACCTCAAGACTTCAAAGAGTTGCTGATGCTCTTCGTCTCTAACACTCTTGCCTTTAAATTTGGCAGTATCTATACCTCGCCATGGCTCATATTCAAACCTTACCAGGCGGTGGAGGGATTCAATAATTGGCGCTAAGGCCTTGGCCACAGAGAAATGGCGAAAGAATTGACGTCGGATCTTGAAGCTCTTAACCACGCCGACTTTCGGCAAAACCCGTCTCCATCGTCGAGCAGACGGGGCCCGAAGGTCAAAACGCAACCCCCTGGGATGTCCAAACACGCGTAGTAGGGCGTTATTTTTCACGTAATGAGTAGGGTGCCCATTCTTCCACCGATGAAATTTATCCTCATAAACCCTCGGCGGCGGTGTATGCAAGGACCAGGCCGTATCGTTAACCCTCACAGCTAGGTCTTGACAGTAGTGATCGGTGTCGCTCGGCGAATGAACACTGAGTTCCAATGTGAGACCTCTCCGTTCTTGTTCGATTTCTTTGTTCCTAGGCCAAGCAGATAGTATTCCCAGAAGATCCCACACGGCGTTTGTGAAGATGTATTTATTGGCAACATCTTCATCGGTAGACTCTGGTGTTCCGCATCTACTGCAGTCGTAGGTTGGGAGTTCAATGCGCAGCCAGATCCATCGCACCAAGAATGTGCGCTGGTGGCGAGTGAGGATTTCACCGAATTGACAAACGTCGTCTTGATGTAGTATAAGTCGTTTGAAATTTTGTTTCTCAAAATATGCTTGCCATTCTTGACACACCATGGCACAGGTGGACAGAATACGCGGCTTAGCCATTTGGTCTGGAACGGCCGCGTCTGGAGCTGCATTGGATTCGGGTTCGAGAAGCATCTCGAATACTTCTAGTTGAAGCTCGGGCGGTAGACTGTTCCAACTCATTTTTTTGTGTGAAGACTTGCTTGCGAAGACTTTGGTCTGGCTGCGCAGGAGTACAGGGGGCGACCCTTTTTCGCAATGTTTGGTAGAAGTTGGGTGGAAATAAGACTAGGGTGGAAAAGGGCATCTAGGGCTTCTCATATCTCTGCTGTGGCGTTATGTCGACAAGGAGCTCATGCGGCTTGATGCTAAGTTTTCGCTGACCTGTGACTGCAAACCTTATAATGTGCATGAGGGGGTTTAGGTTAAAGGAATACCTACTTAGATGAACACTATTGAGCTATGGTCCAAGATTTGTGTAGAACGTATCCAGAGCTCGCTGAAAACGAGATGACAAAATCATTGGGATTCTGACCTTGTCCCTCAGTTAGATTGGGTTAATGAATCTCTATAAGGTCTCGTCGCAGGGACGTATGAACTATGATGTCGATACTCTGACAAGCGACTGATATGAAGCATAACACCAGAGATCGTTTTGTTATTTGTTGTTAAGAGTACCAATAACAAAGGGATGTATTTAGCTTGATATTACGTCAAAACTCAAAACTAGACGCCCGAGAGCTATGCTGCATTTCAGCCACTGGAGTGACTCATGTGGAGTTACTCATGGCAGCAAAACTTCGAAGTATCCAGTCATCTTTCAGCTTCTTCTTAATTTTTTCCCTACCTTGACCTTTTTACTTATTTAAGTTCAAACCATTTCATTTTAGATCTAAGTTATGAAGTAATAAGAATATAGTAAAAGGCAAGATAGTGAGAGGACTCTCAATGCAAACCTCGGTGAGTATCGATCAACGCCTACCACAGCGGAGGCAAGTTAGCGAACCACGTATCCCTGGTTCAGCAGTATAAATCATTCAGCATTACTACACGATTACAGTAATGACAAACTTATCATCGCTCTATTGTTCCATGTTTCCGTCAAATTGCAAAAGTTAAGGCTATCACCATCACTTTCTGAAACGGCCTAGATCCCACAAACCAATTTCGCTTGAGAGATATGTAAGAATCCTATCACTATATCTAGTATCTATACAATAATCATCAACTTGAACCAGATACATTCTACTCCTTTCCTTCCCCTATTGTTTTCATGGGGGTCCCGGTTTTATTTTTCGTGTTCCTACGAGCAACGCTGTTCTCACGTACTTCATGCTCATGGCACGAGGCACATTCGTTTCCTGGCCTGTAAAATGTCTTGTGCGTTCCACATTGCACAATGTGCGTTTTGGTGACGCAGCGGCTGGTGGCTGCCTTTTTACAAGTGGGACTGGTGTGTATGTTAGCGAGACCTCATCTGCCAGTGGGAGAGAGAGCTGAGACCGACCAATGATGACCACCCATCTTTAACACGTATTGGTATACCAAATAGGGGAAATGATTAGTTGTATCGAAGCTTCTTTGAGGCTTGATAAAATCTTGTCAGTTAGTCTCAGTCGCTATAGAGAGGCAAGAAACACTTACGCAAGAGGTTCCAACTTCACTATGGCAACTATCTAGACAGATCGTGTACTCGGTCGGTGTTGAGCGATGGACTCTGGCTATCGGGAACTACGATCATAGCATAATATACACTCCGAATATCAGAGCCTGATAGTAACAGGGTAAGCATTTCATCGATTACTACAATATGTAGACGTTATTCGAACAGCATCGAAGGATAACGTGCTAAGTAAATAACAAGGCACAAGAGCTTGTCAACGTTAGTCTACAGATGCAGCACAATCATAGTAAAGTTAACGACAAAGCACGGGAGTACGTGCATTTTGGCCATTAACGAAAATAAAATCGTATGGTGAATACTGAAAACTTTTCAATGTTAATCGCTTGTGGATGGATTCGCTTTGTTCAAGCGAGGCCCGTTCCACAACAGTTGGGGTCGACTTGTTCTAGATCACTGATTGATTGTCGTACAAACAATACATCTTCTCATCCGTAACAAAGAAAACTGATTACTCATGCGTATGCTGCACCTATTTATTCGGTGGAGGTCCCTTGGTGGGAAAAAGAATTCCTCAATTTCTTTTCTCCTACAACGTGCTTGCAACTTTCATTCAATCAAGCACCAACCAACCTTTGCTACAATGGCGAGTGTCGATGAAGTCAAGGCATTCATTGAGCCCATCTGGGTTGATGATGCTGAAGATGAGCCTGACATGTTCGCCGCTGTGCGTGCAAACATCAATCTCCAGCAACTATCAAGAGTCGCCTCCCAAGTTCGTCCGGGCTTCGCAGATAAGCTCCCCTCCGTTGGTGAGCCCATTCAAGGTTCATTCAATATTCTTTTCCCATTGCGCTTCGAGGATGGAATGCGCTGGCTCGCCAAAGTTCCAGTCAACGGAGTTCCGGGAAAATGGGACCAGCTGTCTGTCGATGCCATGATCTCCGAGGTAAACACGATGCGTTTGTTAAGCCGAAAGACGACCATCCCTCTTCCTGAGGTATTTGGATTCGACTCAACAACGGAGAATGACGTCAAGTGCCCATTCATTCTCTTGTCATTCATCTCTGGCAAGCCTTTATATGATGTCTGGTTTGGACATCGCTTGAGCGGTGTTGATATGGAGACAACTCATGCGCGTCGCATGCGGGCACTGAGTGATATCGGCGCCGCGATGTCTCAGTTGGGCAAATTCTCCTTTAACTCCTCCGGCTTTGTCAAATTTGACGAAGAGGGCAATCCTTCTGGTGTTGGTCCGTCGCGCTGCCTCGATTATCAAGAAATGGTTGATCGAACGTGGGGAAATGAAGATGATAGCGAGGACCCTATCGATGATGACAGCGGGGACCCTATCGATGATGACAGCGAGGACCCTATCTATATCGAGGTACCGGCCTTCGAAGACCCTCAGCAGCAGTACAACTTCTTTCTCGACTTACATCCCAGAACAAATCCCTTTGAAAGAGGAGTCAATTTGCTGCTGAAAGAACTGATCAAGGGGATCCCGCAACCGACAAATGTTAACCCATTTGTTTTGGCGCACCCTGATTTTGACATACAAAATTTCCTTGTCTCCGAAGACGGCCAGCTACTAGGTATCATTGACTGGGATGGTGTGTGCTGTTCTGCCAGGAGTCACGGAAATGAAGCCTATCCCAGTTGGCTCACAAGAGATTGGGACCCGTTGATGTACAACGACCAGCAGTCCATGGACGAGGGCAAGGAGCCGGATGGTTGCTGGGAGGACTCACCTGAGACCCTTCAAATTTATCGGATTGCTTATGATGAGATTATGTCCAAGTTTCGCAAGAGAGATGCCGACATCAACCTCACCAGAATTTCTTTGATCACAGAAAGTCTCATGATTGCCGCGGTGGACCCAAGATGCAGGCACGTCATTGTGGACAAAATCATTCACGAAATCTCAAAGATGTTGGAACTGGTAGAACCACTGTATTTCACCGAACTGGCGGAAGCATTCGCAGGAGATTCATTTGGTGAGGAAATGCGAGCAACCTTGGAGCGCGGAATGAAGAAATTATTCCAAGATGCTCGGTAGACAACATGAGTTATGCTTGGCTTAGCTGCAACAGACTCACTCGCGTATGTAGAATTCTTAATGGCTATTGCCTCCACGACAAAGGCTAAGCATTCACTGTGGCTCCTAGTGAGAGTTACGAACAAGGCAGTGGCCTCCTTGAAACTTTAGTCTATGTATCAAAAGATTATCTATCACAATAAAACCACAACATCACATAACTTATTATTGCCGCTAGCCTGAGGAACGGGTGTTAAAATGAAGGCGCCAATCATCGACGTTAATCAATCGCTCCAGTCCAAATTTTGGTTCGAGAAAAAGCTACTGTACATCTATCAGAGTACGCCCGCAGTACCACATCTATATATGATCATAATCTTACAAATATGGCTACTTCTTTCATTGCATGAGTCCAAATGAGATCCGAGAGAGGATTTCAACATCGCAGCTACCCTAGAGCCGCAAAGGGCGAGGAGAACTTACCATGCTAATTGCTTGATGTCATTCAGCGGAAACAACAAATAATTTCTTTCAATCAACCGGTCGGTAGCGAAATCTAATGCCTAGAGGCTTGATATTGACACCTACATGCACTTACAAGATTGACGCTATCGGCCCATCTTACTTATACGGATCAGATAGTCAGCAAACTACGACGGTTATCAGGCCTGAACTCTTTGCTCTATTGATTTGTACGCAATTCGAAAGGGATCTAGGGGTCCCCGCTGAGCTTAGGACCGGTTTCTTTTGCTCAGGCTCCAAGGGTTGCCCACTCGTGTTGCATGATATGTTTCATGTTGCTTTAATACTGCCCCGCCAAGTCAGTGACAAAATAGTACGACCAAATAAACACCCAAATAGACACCTGCCTACCCCAATAATTAGCTAATACTTGGAAGAGATCGTGCATCATTAATATGGATTATCAATATTGTTTTCCCTTACTCGTATCTTATTCATTTCCATAGTTGGCCGTGAAACATAGTAGATGCTGTGAAGTATTTGTCAAGGAAGTGCTTAGGTGTGCCATTTCATGTCACTTGCCCGCCTATTGGAAGCTGCAAGTAAGCATCCGGCCAAGAAAGGAGCTGCGCCTGCTCAAAGTAGTAACAATGGACCGGACTTTAACATTCCTCAGGATACCCCGCTCGGTTGGCACCCTCTTCGGTAGAGAGAGGGTGGGATTCAATGCCATGATATTGCCGTCTGACATAAGTTTCGAAGTATTACTACAAAACCGCTCTTGGCAACACGTTTACGACGTTCCAACCAACACGTTCACCGCTCCTTCCTATTCAAAGGTTCTCATGATACATCCTGCGGAGACGAAACAGGGGCTATTTTGGTCTTCAATGCACGGCAGATTCGTCACCCGAGGGCCTGATGGCATGAGCTAAGGGCTCGGCTCTCAATTTGAATGGTTAGCCAATAGATATTACCTACGAAGCGTGCACCAATTGAGGATTGCCATCCCTGCGAGGCTCCCTGCGAGGCATGCGTGTGTAGACGAGGGGCATCGAGGGGCACGGAGGGGCAAAGGTAAGCTGCAACGAGGGGAAAGTCGAGTTGGCCATGAATTCAACATCTGGTTTGGTCCCGTAGAAAGTATAAAGAAGCTCACTTGCTCGAGGTTTCGGTTTCTCTGTTTCTCTTCTTCTATCCTCATCCCACACCTCAGAACAACATTAAGACACCAATCTCTCCCTTCCATCACTCATAAACCAACCTTCAAAATGGTCGCCATCAACCTCACTATCCTCTACCCCAACAACGAGGACATCAAGTTCAACTTCGAGTACTTCGTCGGCACTCACGTCCCCAAGCTCACTGCCGCCCTCAAGGACCTCGGCCTCGTCGGCTGGGAGGTCGTCAAGTACTCCCACGGCGCCGACGGTGGCACCCCCGCTTACCAGGCCGGTCTGATCCTCAAGTGGGACGACAAGGAGAAGCTCCAGGCCGCCCGTGATGGCCCCGTGAAGGCCGAGCTCGTTGCCGATCTCCCCAACTTCTCCAACCAGAAGCCTACCGTCCTTGCCGGCGGTATCGTTTCTAGCTCTTAAGCATGAATCCTCAAAGGCCAGACAGGAAAGGTGGATTGCAGGCCATGATGGTCAATGATTGATCTTGTAAATATGTTACGACCACTCTCGAGTCTTGAAGTCGTCCGTCCGGCCGGTGTAGCTTAGATGAAATGAACCTTAACGATAAAGCGATCCTTTGACTCAATAAATGAAATGATTCAAGTCATATCCTTGGACCCTAGTTAACATCTTTGTGTCTGTTGATATGTGTCTGTACTTTGGGGATTTACTGAACCTCCGCACCTCGCCCAACCTATCACTATACCCTCCATGCTGGCTAAATCGAGAGAGAAACCTCTGGAGTGACTTGTAAAGTTGAATAAGATCAGCAATCCACAAGAACTGTGCTAATTATGCGGAGAATGACGGCATAGAACATCAACATCACGAAGCTAGATATTGAAACGACGCAAGTTCCTTTGTGCTGGGGTTCGCCTGGGTCTAACTGCTTTGTTTCGTTTTCAGTAATGCGTAAGGCTAACTAATTGGTAAGCTAAGACCTTCTTGGCTTGGCCTTCATCTTACTTGCCGCCTGAGTGTGGGAGTTGGTAGGCTTACATGCTTCAGTTCTCTCCCCCAGTCCTGCAACCCATCTAGGTCGACAACTTACCCTATGATCTATGAGTGAATCTGCAATGGCCATTTTCTCTATAACTGTTTATTTCGGTTGTTCATAAATAACAAGAAGCCTCGGGGACAAGGCTAAATCAAACACAACTGGCAATAAGTTCGCATCTCAGCTTTCACTGGTGTGGGGTCAGCCGGTCACCCTCCAACACCAAAGTCTTTATCCACCTGCGAATGTGTGGCACATTGCGGCACAGCGTAGTAATCACGCCAGGGGCAGGCTAAATGTTGGCAATAAGTGACACACGAAAACCCCTGCCCCTGAGGAGTAAGCTCGCTCCCCGCGTCCATCCAAATAAGCCCGTGTGCTGCTGCAAGATGATTGTCTAATATTCAGTTAACTATCCGCCGTTTAAGGATGTACGGGATTGTATTTATATATTGTGTAGACTGGTTGATAGATTGAAGACTACAGTTCTTGAGCGCATTTAATAAGCAGTAAGTGAAGACCCACGAGGAGGTGCTTTATTTACTTCAACCAAAAATGAGGTGTGGAAGAGGTAGAAGTAGACGGTAAAAAAGGAGCAACAACCGTAGCAAACTAACATTGGAATGCCTGCGTTTTCTTATAGATTCTGAGTCTTCTATATTAATATCTTCGGACAAACTTGAGTGATCTAGCTAGATAACCAATAGAAGGACGTTATAGGATCGACGCATCTGACCAAGATTGGATTTCAATAACAGTTCAAAGCCTTGCCGGACAAGGACCTTAAACCTACTCAACTTAGAGACGTGTAGTATAACTAAGACGACAGTCTATATGATGAATATAATTTTGAGTCATGTATCTCCCATTTAGAAACCAAAAGATATACCAAAAAGACAGACTAACAGGGGAATCACTATTGTAGACCAAATGAACATACATTGCTACATGCGGAACAATATTAGAGTCAAGAGGCATAAAGGGCAGCGTAAAGTCTTCATCTATAGCTCGGGTACCGGTCAGGTTATAGGAAGAATTACATAAGATGCAGGCTGGCCTCAAGTGCAAGTTCAGGCCAAACGCATTCTGTGTTAACCTACATCGCTGGAAGGTCATATCGAGGGCCATACTTGACAATGTGAAAAAGAAAAGACGGATCACTCTGAAAGTTCAATAGAAGGTGTGCGCCCAAAAATTAACTTCACAACTGACCAAAAAGTTAGCTTTTGCCGTGATTTGTTTACATAAAACTCTATCATTATCTAGGTATGATAACAAGAAATGTAGTTCAAGAAGTATAACCACAGCCGCCTTCTAGCTCAGCCCATCTCACTGTTAGCCAAAATTTAATAATACCGCTCGGTTTCAAGAACACAAACAGATTCCAATATGATAATTTATCATAAAAGTGTGTCCCTGTTAACTTTCTGCGTGATCTAGGCACCGCAAAGAACGAGCCTTTCCATTAATCCCTTTGTTCTTCTTCAAGCCAATCTTGTTGCATTACTCTTTTACAACATTTTGAACACATTAGCTAAAAAGTCCAACACCACCAACAAATTTGAACAACACAGAAATCCACGATGGCTTTTCTTGAACTCCCAACCGAACTTCGACAGCGAATACTCGACTTTGCCATATGCTCTCGAGCGACGCCTCCCGAATCCCCGTCCGCAAGTCAGCGAGATCGTAGCAATCCCCGTGATAGGTTCTAGTATGATTACTGCGTATGGCAGCTGCCTCCCAAGAACCTCGCGTTGCCACTCATGTTGGTGAGCCGGCAATTCTACGCGGACGTCCAGAAGGTTCTTCAGCTTTTTGGCACTAATTACCACGTCGACATCATGTTTATCAAGGATCGCGGCTTCTGGACAACGTGGTCTATCCCAGCGCTCCCCAAGACGCAGTACATTGATTCTGTTCACGCGATATTCAGAATCTTCGAGCCTACGCAAGATTTAGAGGAGAAGTTTAAAGGTAGTGAGTCGGGGCCTACTTATTAATTCGGCCAGGTTAGATAAATTAGCTATTTTTCTATATCTATAGTAAAAAAATATACTTTTTACCTCTTCTTATTTTTACTTTTAAAAATCCCTTCTTATAAAAGATATATCTTTTATAACTTTATAATAGCTATAATTAGTTAATTAACTAGCTATAAATATAATCTATTTAATTAAATAAAAATATATATAAAACTTAAAATCTTCTTTTTATAACTATTATAAAAGGTTATTAGATTTTAATATAATTAGTAATCTATATTTTAAGCTTATTAATAGCTATAGTATTATTTATTTTTCCCTTAATATAAATAGAGATCTTAATAGGAAGATATATAATTAAACTCTAAATAATCTAAATACTTCTTAATCTATAGATTA